ATCACATGACTTTATGTTGAGTAGGGACATACCACATGACTTTATGTTGGGTAGGATCACACCACATGACTTTATGTTTGGCAGGGACATATCACATGACTTTTGTTTGGCAGGGACATATCACATGACTTTATGTTGAGTAGGGACATATCACATGACTTTATGTTTGGCAGGGACATATCACATGACTTTATGTTTGGCAGGGACATATCACATGACTTTATGTTGAGTAGGGACATACCACATGACTTTATGTTGAGTAGGGACATATCACATGACTTTATGTTGAGTAGGGACATATCACATGACTTTATGTTTGGCAGGGACATATCACATGACTTTATGTTGGGTAGGGTCATACCACATGACTTTATGGTGGGTATGGAAATCAGTATGGAAAAGAGTGTTGGGGTGAAAATTATATGACCTTGTGTTGTGCTGGGACATCACGTGCCTTAACAATGGATAGGGACATTCAAAATGTTTTGGGTAGGGACATATCACGTGACATAATGTTGATACATAAGCACATGTTTACAAATATAAAATGCATGTCGATTAATGACACTAATAGTGAAACACGAATGCGCCAAAAACGCGAAACCAACACATTTTTACTACAGCCATGTCAAATGTTTTCATACTGCATTGCGCAAGGTTACTTTATTTGTATTAGTTTTATTAGTTGTTTATTTGTAACCATATATGTAAACATAAACAATATCTAAGCTGAAAAACGTTCACATAACTTTATTTTGCCAACCAACTAAACGTATCTTATATTCACTTTACTCTTGTGAACCAATATCACATATGACACGTGGCTAAAACAGTACAGAAATGTATACTTAATAACATACTAAATCAATAACGCCAACGGAGAGATTCATACTTTCAAATAAAATTAATTAAAAAGATATTTCAAAAAAAAACACAATAATGTAACACCATTACGTGTCAGTTGGACGCGTGAAATGTTTATTGTTAGATAAATGTCACTGACATAATAGGGAATATTTAATCCAGAATTATTATAGAACCGGATATACAGTTTATATACATATAGTATACCAGCTGTCACGGAGAA